GAAAGAACAAATTAGTGAATTTGTTAGAAAATCCTTGGTGAGGAGCTAAAGTAGTGGATGTAGACTTGGTTGATAAGTTGAATCACTTTAAATACTTGTGCCAAATTGTCTTATCTATTTGTTCTCCTTACTCCCTAAATTTAATTCTATCTTTTAAACCCCTTTGCATTTTTTCGGTTGTCCATTGATCCTCTTCATTAATCATAATAATTGGTATCAGAGCTTAACTCATTTAGAAGGTTTAACCACCTTGAGACGTTTCTAGAAGAATCTCTACCAATTCCTAACACAACTAAGAAGAAATGGCTTCAACCTCCGGTGCATACTACATTAAAGATTCACAATCGGTCAACAAGCCACCCTACTTCAATGGAGCAAATTCTGCCTATTAGAAGAATATGATGATGTTCTTAATTAAATCAAATGATCTAGAAGCTTGGAACTCGATCATGAAAGGCTACACCATTCCAACCGACGAGATGGACGATTGGAGTGATGGAGAGAAGAAGAAGTTCCAACTCAATGCTAAGGCTATGCACATTCTCTTTTGTGCATTAGGCCCGAATGAATACGGAAGAGTCTCCTCTTGTTCCAATGCCAAGGAGATCTGGGATAAGCTCCAAGTCACTCATGAGGAAACCGATGAAGTGAGGGAAACCAATGAAGACATCAAAGCTATGACGGATAGATTTTTCGTGATTGTCAACGGTCTCAAAGGATTTGGAGAAGTCATATCCAATGAGAATTTAGTGAGGAAGATAATCTACTCTCTTCTAAAGTCTTGGAAATCGAAGAAGACGGCGATTATCGAAGCTAGAGACCTAAAGTCTCTCACTCTTGATGAGCTAATTGGTTCTCTACTTACCCATGAGTTGATGGTGAATGAAGAGGAAGAAGATGAAGATAAGAAAAAAAAGAAGAAGAAAGAGGTAGGCATTGTCTTCAAGTCCACCAATGAGAGCTATGAAGACTCAAGTGAAGAGGTGGATGAAGATGATGATGATGAAGAAGAGATGGATAATCTCTTCAACAAGTTCAAGAGATTCATGTCTTCCAAGGAAGTGAAGCATAAATCAATCAAGAGGAAGGGTCTCCCTGTGTGCTTCAATTTTCAAAGAAAGGGGAATGTCAAGTATGAATGTCATCTCCTAAAGAAGAAGGGATCATCAAAGAAAAAGGCATTTGAGGCAGCTTGGAGTGATGAATATGAAGTAGCCAACCTATGCCTCATGGCCATCGAAGATGATTGCGATGTATCTTCTAACTCAAATGATTTAAATTCACAATCTTTTAATGAGTTACAAGATGCTTATATTGAGTTGTATTTTGAATTTGAGACCATGAATTCCAAATATAAGAAATTAGTTTCAAAATTTTCTAGTTGAAAATGATTTGATTTTGAAAGCCAAAGTTGATATCGAAAATCAAAATGAAATTTTGAAAAATGATTTAGAGATTTCAAAAGTTAAAATCAATGATTTAGAAAAAGAAAATTTTGATTTAAAAGTTAAGCTTGAGAGCTTAACAAAAGAAAAAGAAATAATTTCTAAAAACAACTCATTTTGTTTGAAATGGCAAAATGCTCACATTGCCATTTTATGGCCACATGGAACATTCTTGTCCTTTTAAAAAGGAAAATGATTTAAAATTAGATAAATATGGGTTCCTAAGGGAACAAGGGGCATTGAAACTAACGTTCAAGGATCCAAAGCAATTTGGATACCAAAATCTACTTAAATGTCTCTTGTAGGTGTGTGGGAGCATTGGTGATGAAGATGAAGAAATTGAGATGCTCTAGCCACACTCGAAAAAGGAATGGGTAACCTCTAAGCTTAAATGCTTTTGATTTTGATTATTTGGTTGCTCATTTTGATTTAAGCATGCATGAGTTTTGATTTTAATGATTTGATGTTTTTCATCTCTTGTGTGTTAAAAATATGTTATGATGAACATTTTAAAGTTTTAATGATTTTTCATATTTTTTTAGTTCATCATAATGAATTTTGGTCAAAATTGATTTTAATGCAAATGATATCTCTCTAACAATTGATATAAACTTTTCAAATGCTTTGATTTTACAAATTTTAAAATTTTTGACCTAAAATTAAATGTGTATGCATGTGTTTTAAAATGTTAAAGATATCTCTCTAACAATTGATATCTAATTCTACAAATGCATAACATTTTTGAAAAGCTTTATGCATATGTACTTAATTTCAACTATTGATATTGCATAAAGTATTTTATACTTGGATATATTGAATTTCATGAGCTACTAACATATTTGTTACTATTTGTTGAAATTCAATTTTGTTTAAGTGTTGAGATTTTAAAGCTAAATTCTGTTTGGAATGCACTTTTTGTGGGAGAGCATTGACTTTTTAAATGTTTTTTAATGTAAAAAATACTATCCATCGTTATGTTTGAACTTCAAAGTTGAATTCTTTTTGATTTAACAAAAAAGGGGGAGAAGTATTGGTTTGAAAAATTAAATTTCTTGATGAAAAGGGGGAGCTGAACATTTTCACATATTTTCCAACAATTGATACCTTTTTCATTAACATTTTAGTAAGAGGGAGTTTTGCCAAAAACATTTTTCAAATGTTTTGTTATATCAAAAAGGGGGAGATTGTTGAACTATATTTTGATATAACAATTAGGGCAAAATGTTTTTGGACTTGAATTCAATTTATTCGAAGTTTTCAATGTTTTCAAAAATAATTCAAAGTCCTTAAAAGCTTGGAATTGAGCACAAAACAATTTTCTGGACAAGTAGTACCGATATTGTTCTTACAGTATTGATACCAATTGAACAAGTACCGATATTGTTCATATGGTACTGATACCAAAGGTAAGGGAAGTATTGATACTCACTAGGTAGTACTGATACTACCAGCTTTGCTCAAATTTCAAAATGCAAAAATGGTATCGATACCCAAAGGAGTACCGATACTACTATGTATAGTAGTATCGATACCATATGGCCCCAACAGCTAGTTGATTTAAATATAACAAAGGTAGTACCGATACTCCATTTAGGAGTATCGATACCCCTTGGTCTGGGAAACTTTATTTTGCACGAAAATTAATCCCCAACGGCTCCAAACAACATCCAACGGCTAGAAACGGCTACAACAACATTCCAATACATAAATACAAGTTCAAGACACTGTAATAAGGGTTAGAACACCTATCCAAGCAATCAAACACAAGAGAAGAGTTTTCCATTCTTATTTTCAATTCTCTTGTAAATAATTGTGTTTTTGTGAGCTTTCAATTTGTAAACACCTACCTTGTAAAGGTTATTCTGTTTATTTCTTTTTTTCCCTTGTAAAGGTTTTTGGTTCTATCTTAGCCATTGAAAAGATAGGGAGTGTAAAAGTTATCTCTTTGTCCTTGAAAAAAAGAAAGAACAAATTAGTGAATTTGTTAAAAAAATCCTTGGTGAGGAGCTAAGGTAGTGGATGTAGACTTGGTTGATAAGTCGAACCACTTTAAATACTTATGCCAAATTATCTTATCTTTTTGTTCTCCTTACTCCCTAAATTTAATTCTATCTTTTAAACCCCATTCTTTTTCGATTGTCCATTGATCCTCTTCGTTAATCCTAACAAATTGAATTATACGTTTTATATTTGAAAGAGTTATAATTAAAATAATTGTTATCTTTTAATATTTAAATATAATTTATAATTACAAAAATAATTTTGATAAAATAATTTATAATTAAAATTCTATGTGTATCAGGTACTTCTATTAGTTTTAACTAAATTATATATTTGTGTACAATAAGTTTATATATAAATATATAATTTAATAAATAATTATTCTTTTCAATCATAGGGTATGACTTTGTAGGTTCATGTAACGTTAACAATAATCTTAGAACAATTCTAAAATTACAAATAATGGTGACATCAAGCAATGCACCATAACTACCTAATTTACATGAATTCATGGTTCGATATAATATTTACATGACTAACTTTTCATGTTGTAGATGCCCATTTTGTCCAGATCGAAACCTTACTATTATTAATTATTATTTATTTAACTATATTATTTTTATTATTATTGCAAGCCAAATTACAAGCCCACAATTGGGTCCCAATTACAAAGGGTCATCCGGCCCAATTAATCCAGCAAGCCCAAACAAGCAAAGAAAAAACCCTAACCTAATTTGGGTTTGAAACCCTAGTTTCCAACCACCGCCGCTCATGCCAAGAGCCTCTCCCACTGCCACCGCTTCCATCATCACTGTTCCGGTCATATGTTCCCGACGATCCTGCTATCATTTTAGCTACTTCACCATCACCACCTCAAAAAAATAGTAAACCCAAACAATTAGAAAAATAAAAAAATCAAAAGCCATCATCAACGGTGAAAATCCAACCAAACCCATACCAAACTTGCTAAAACAATTGGATTTAGTCGGATTGGGGATCCAAATTTTAATGAGTTTTTAGGGAAATCATTTCCCTAAAACATGGCCACACCAAACAGACAAGGAGAAGCATAATATTTGAGCAGAAAAAGAAAGGGGTTCGAAAAAGAAATAAAGAAAGAAAAAAATGAGAGATCCAAAAAAACAGAGGGAACAAAAATAAAATAAAAAGAGAAAATGAGAGAAAAAGGAATCACCTGAGTTTTCTTGGTGGCCTCATCATCTGTGGTTCGTTAGAAAGCTTCCATCTCCGTCACCGGGAAGCTGAAAAGACACTGGATTTCTTTATTTTGAAAGGTATAAACTTAAATCTGTGCGTTTTGGCTGAGTTTTAGGAAAAAGGGTCTTGGTTTCGGGGTTAGGAGGAAGAGAATATCATTTTGGTAGGTGTTGTTTCTTCTTCAGCCCCCTTGAACGGCGATAGAGCATGTCGGCGACCGAAGCTTCTCCTCTCTGATGGAGATAAGTTGAGAGAGTATTAAGAACTCTCATTCTCCATCTTTATTTTAAAATAAAAAATGGAAAATGAAATGGTTGTGGGTTTTTAACCTTAAACTAAGGCTTATATACCCCTCATAAAACTAAATCGTTTTAGGGGTGATGGGCATGCGTTTAGGCGCTAAGGGATATCTATTTAATGGGCCATCCAATGTTTGTAATATTTTCATTTTAGTCACCAAATGCAGTTTTTTATCTTTGACTTCAAACTTCTTATTTTCTTCATGTTATGTCTTAGTCCTTAATTGTTTGTTAGGCCTTATTTTTATGCCTATTTAAATTTTATGCCTTTAATTTTACAAAGCTTTCATTTCAGTCTCGTATGTTATTTATGGTTTATTTCCATTCCTAATGCTTGTATTGTCTAATATTTAATTTTGTACGCATTATTTCTTACAATTTTGTTGTTTGGTCTTTAAAGTTGCTATCCTTTTCAATTTAGTTACTAGTTGATATAGCTTGTCTAAATTTATGTAATTTTACATTCTAGTATTCGATATATATATATATATATATATTTCAGTCCATTGTTCTAGATATGCAAATACATTTTATTTTATTTCCAGATTAATGTCTAAGTTTATGGGTTCGTAATAAATATACTTTATATGTCATTGTGTAGAATTAATTGTACATATATGCTATATTATTAATCTTTGCATACTAAGTATAATATAATATAATAAATAATATTTTATATATATAGTAATTATACTATTTTTTATGCATGCTATGTTTGTAAATGTGTAATTTGGTGCATATTGTCTAGGTTCTATTTTAATTAATTTGTACGAAGCCCTCATAAGCTCAACATGACTCGAATCAAAATAATTTGACTAAGTGTAATATTCGTTCATTTTAAGATTGTTGTGAAGTGACTGTCTTAACGTATAAGAAAGTTGATTTCGATAATTTTAAAATGAAAGTGTATCCCATTAAGTGAAACAAACAAAAATGATTACATTTAAAAGTTGGGACTAAGAAAAAGATCATGTTCTTTTAATTAAATTCACCAAGAAAAGATTGTTAGATCGGATCTAAGGTCCCATCTCGATGTATTTAAATAATTGAACATCCTTATTCTCATTAAATGTTGGTAAAATAATTAATTAATCATATTTATTTGATATATGTTTGTAATTTTTCTTTTATTTTGTATGTATTTTTAATGGGATCTCAAAATAAATAGCACTCAAATTAATATTGAGTTTTAAATTGGAATTATAGTATTTCTTTATTTCTATTGGAGTAAGAATTGATTTCTCTAAGGTATAGAAGGTCTTTTCTTCTCGATAGGAAATAATTAAATATTATTGTGTTTCTTCCTAAAATTCAAAGAATGTGTTTTAAAAAGGAAAATCTTAAATTTAATTTGTTTCACTATTCTTTATTCATTTGAATTGGGAATTAATAATGTGTTTTAGATTGAAATTATAGTATTTCTTTATTTCGATTGGAGTAGGAATTGACTTCTTTAAGACATGAGAGGTCAATTCTTCTTGATAGGAAATAATTAAATATTACGATGTTTTATTCTAAAATTCAAAAGTGTTATTTGTATGGTATTTTGAATTAAATTAAACTCGAATTCGTAAATTGCATTGCAAAGACAACCAATTAATCGACTAGGTATCGATTTAGGACACTGTGGGGGTGTTAATCCTTCCCTACGCGTAACCGACTCCTGAACTCAAATTTTTGGTAAAGCATACCATAAAATTGTTGTTTTAATTAAAATTAATATTTTTTTATTAAATGAAAATATATATTTTAGGTTCCCAATCACACCCTAATCAAAGATTGGTGGTGACTCCTCGAACCATGTTTTGTTTTGGTTTTTTAAGAAGGCCCCAAAATTATTCGAGACGGGATCTTTTAAAAATTAAATCATTTCGACAGCTTGGCGACTCTGTTGGGGACCTTTTTTTAGAGAGTCGAGCCATTAGTCAATTAATTAATGTCTTTGCAATGAAAATTACAAATTCGTTATAATTTAGTTTTTGATACCTTGTTTAGTTTAAATAAATTTTATGTTTATGATTTGATTAACCACTAAATAATTGTACTAATTTGTTTGCTAATGTTTTCAGATTAAATATGTCTTAAAGGGATTTGAGAACTCTGTTTTGTGTTGGTTGTGTGTTTTTTCCACTTTTCCTCACACACTGCAAAACTGCATTTGCATAACATGAGCTAAAACCCCACTCCGTCCTATTTAAGTATGAGTGAGAAACTACTCTCTCGTGTGGTTTTCACCTCTATATGGGATAGTGGATCGCTCCTGGGGCTCAAGCTTTATGGTCCTCGTGATGGTTTTCACCTTCGTATGGACATAAGGAAGTGTGTTCGCTCGAATTGAACTCGATCCGAAAGCCAGTGATGGGCCAGGATTAAGGGTCTAGTAGCCTAAGGGGCACTAACAAGGACAATTCAAGAACCTTTTACTTTAGAGCCAAACTCAACATATAGTAAACCTAGAACCCAAGTAAAGCTTAACCCAAACCTTAAGAATCCCGTGAGGAAAGTACACAAAGAAAAGTTTTTTTTAGCCTTTTAAATTTTTGAAATATAATTTTGTTTTTCGAATAAATGTATGCAAACTAGAGACCATGTGGTTAGGTTTATTTTTTTCGAATAAACATGCGAACTAGATGGCATGAGATTAGGATTTTTATGTTAAACAAAGCATGTGGGTAGAAATCATGTTTGGTTAGGATCTGCTAAAACATGATTGGGTAGCCAACATGTGGGGTAGGTTTTGTTGACAAATTATATTACGCCCGATTAATTTCTTTATGATTATTGACTAATTTCTTTTTCCTTTTTCTTTTATTTTGTCTTCATTTTTGCATTGCACTATTCATTCCATTGTGTTGATCCGTGATTGATATACATATAGAAGGCTAGTAATATGGAATGAATGATTCAAAAAGAGGTAAAAGATAATGTAGATGTTCTAAGATAGTTCGAGCAGTCCCATCTTACAAATGGAGATAGCTTACAGTATGGATACGTGCCATATCTGATTGGGTACACCCACATCAATGTTCGTCAAAATGACTTGAGAGAGTTGAAAGAGATCTGGTAAAATATGAAGCAGTCAATAAGCAGTTGCTTTATCAGCACTATGGTGACATCTCCTATCTCCTAGATGTTCCGATTGACCGAATTTGTTTAGGGCTCTTGCCTTATTCTAGAATCCCGCCTACATTTGCTTTACTATGGGTCATTAGAAGCATAAAAAAGAAAGGAGATAGTGAGTGCATCATCTAGACTGCTCTGAGAGAAGTAATTGATTGTCATCCTAATAAGAGAAAGAAGATGAGTTTGTTTGCTTTGAATATTTATGGGTCTGTCATATTTTTAAAGGTCCTAGGCATGTGGATGTGTCAGTAGTTGATCTATTTGAAAGATTGGACAGACATGTGGAACCTGTGCTGTCTATTTTTGTAGAGACGTTATGTTTCTTAAATTCCTGTAGAAGAGAAGGAGAAGGACGATTCATAGGATGTGCACAACTGTTGCTTGTTTGGATCCTTAATCACTTCAAACACGTTGAGAGCGCACATGTTCGAGTATTCCTAGAAGAATTTTCTCCCTTGCAAGATTTCCTTTCTCAAGAATGGCCTGGGGATTTCACTGAAGAGAAATGGATGGTCATTTTCAAAGATATTAGAGATGGTGATATATTATGGCGAGCTTCGTGGAACATCTCTTTAAATATATTCTATAAATGTGGAGAACGAGATTGGGTTCCATTGCCAGGCATATGGGGTTCTATAGGATATGCTCGTTTACTAGTTTCCAGGCAATATGGGTCAAGACAGTTCATTCCTGCAACTTGGGATTTATCTGGGTCTGAGTTCATGCTTAAAGGAGAGCAGTATAAGAGTAAAGTCAAAGGGGTTGTTGATGCATGGAAGCAAACTAGTCGAGTAATCTCTTCACTTTCGACTTGAAGTTGTCACAAGAATATGAGGAATGGAGAAGCAATCAAGTTAATGATAATATTCCAATTGTCAATCCCAAAAATACTCAACCTATGGAACAACATCTTATAGTTGTATCATCTCCGTTAGAATTAGCCAGGTGTGATTTTGAGGCTGAAAAAAAATAGTGGAAGGAAACGTTAAGAAAGATGGGGGATGAGGTGTACCAAAAAAGTTTAGAAATCGATAACCAAAAAAGTAGAGTTGATCGAATTGAAAAAGTAGTTGATTTATAAAATAAACTCCGATTGGATTTTGATTATCTACAGTTATCATACCATTGAATGGTAAAATCTCAGATGGCCACTAGCTCAAGTAAATCACATGTTGAATGGAGACAAGAAGTGGCGAGTTTAAAAAGAGAAATTGGAGAAAGTAAAGAAGAGCTCAAACAGAGTAGGCATCAGGTAAAGTTACTTCCAAAAGAAAATAGTGCATTATAACAACAATTACAAGATAGTCAAGCCCAAAACGAGAAATGAAAGGGTAGGGTCTTGAGTTTAGAGTCAACTTTATAGCGATACCGAAGACGAGAAAGTAGTTCAAGCCGTGGGGAAGTTGAAAACTTGAGGAAACATGTGAATCAGCTTGATGTTATGATTCAAGATTTTTAGAGAAGGGTAAGTGAATTACCGATAGTCCCCTATGAAGGAGTTATATAGTGGTGCCATCGTTGGGAACAAGCTCAATCAAGAGTTAAACAAAGGGATGACCTCATCGCAAGCTACCTGTAACAAGCTCAAGGAGTAGCTCAGTATTCAGTTGACTTAGCACATGAAGTTGCTACAGTAAGAGAATGATTGGAACCTGAGACTGAAGAAGCTCAAAGTATTTTGGATTTACTTGGGCACATGCATCAATTAGGGAAAATAGATCAGGTCTACCTATGATATGTTTAAGCCTTGTAACCAAACTTCATTTCTAATATAAAAAGTTATTCTAAGGAATCATTCCAGAATCAACACCTAGCATTGTGCATTTATATTTTCTACATAGCATTTACTTTTCGCATTGCATTTTATTCATTAATAGTTATATTTTTCATATTCATTAATAAAATATCAGTATTAATAAAAAAATT